GACCAATTAGATCTCACCGATTAGGCCTCCTCCGAGTTCCATCTGCCGGTCAATGTCGACTGGCCACTACGCGGAGGAGGGCCTTCTCGGTGGCAGCTCCGACCCTGTGGAACGATCTCCCCGTGGAGATTTGTACCCTCACCACCCTCCAGATCTTCCGCACAGCCCTTAAGTCCTGGCTGTCCCGTCAGGCCTGGGGCTAAAGACCTCAACCCCACCCGAATTGTATGAATGTTGTGCTTTTAATTACTGTCTTATGTGTTAATCTGTTTGTTCTCCCTTCCTTCCAAATTGTGAGCCGCCCTGAGTCCCCCCAGGGAAAAGGGCGGCATATAAATAAATAAACTACTCAATAGTGGCTGGTTCTCCCTCCGGAACCGGCTGTGGGAGGTGCCCATGCCTGGTGCCCACTGCCGAGACACCCTGGCAAGGGAGCTGTAGGGCTACCAGGGAGCCGGATCGGGGGGTTTCGGGGGGATGTCCAATCTAGGGCTTACCCCTTCAGGTGGGGCATGGGGGCCCAGTGGTCACAGCAGCCCCATCAGCCCCTGCACCCAACACGGCTGCTCCTTGGGCTGCTGGGTGGTCACTGCAGCCCCCGACCCCCTATTAACCCTCTGCTCTCTCTCCTCCTGTCTCCCCACAGCCCCCCGCGCCTACCTGCTGGCCTCCAGCCCCTCCCCCTTCTCCTCCTCCTCCCCCGAGAACGTGGAAGACTCCGGCCTGGACTCCCCCCCACACCTGGCCACGGGGCCCTCCCCGGACCCCCGTCTGTGGAGCTCCCGCCCGGCCACACCCCTCAGCCCCCCCGGCCAAAGGACCCCCAAGGGGGCCATGGTGTTCCGGGGGGACCGCGGGGCCCTTCTGCCCGAGGACAGAGTCAACCCCTGGCTGCCCCAGCCTTCGGCCCCCCAGGACGCCTGCTTCGGGCCAGAGCCAGATTGGGCGGGCTCTGGGGCCTCGTGGCCTCCCGCAGGGGCCCGGGCCTTCTCCACCTGCTCCCCTGACCTCTTCTCCTCGGAGGCCGGCTTGGGGGGCCGGAGGCTCTGGGTGTCCCGGCCTCGGAGCCCGGCAGCCTCGGACGGGGCCCCTCGGACCGGGGAGCGCGACAGCTGTCTCTCCTCCAACTCGGCCTCCTCCTCCTCCTCCTCTCCGGCCCCCCTCAGCAGCGGGGACTCCACCAGCCCCTCCCCCTGGGCCCCCCGGGGCCGCGACCTGGACAGCAGGGGCCCGTCTGCCTCTGACGCCTCCTCTGAGCACGGTGAGTGGGGGGCAGGGGCCCATGGGGCTCCCGGTGGCCGGAGGGGGGGCGGGTTGCAGCAAGAGAGAGACAGAAGGGGGGGTGGGGGTTACGCTTGGCCTCCCCCTGCAGAGCCTGGACCCTCCTCCTGGGGACCCCAAGGGCCTCTCGGGCTTGGCAGTTCCGTCTTGGGGGAGGGGTCTCTCCCCACCACCTGGGTCCAGGCCCTGCGCAGAGGGCAAAGCGGAACTCAGCCCCTCGTGCTCTGGGTGCAAATCCCGGCATTTGGGGAAAGAGGAACAGCATTCCCGAACAGGATTGGCCGGCGGAACTGCCTTCCACTGGGGGCAGCCCGGAGGACGTTGGCACCGCTGCTTGTGGGGGGGGGAGGAAGCAGCTTCCACTTTGGGTGCAGAGGGGGCAGCTTCCCGTCTGCTGTGCCCCTTCGGTCACCCCCCCCCCTTTTGACCCACAGCTGCCTTCCCCCCTTCGGCCCCCCACGCTTGGCCCCCCACGGCGGCTCCTGTCCGGCGAACCCTCTCCAAGAGACCCTCGGCCGTGTCGGCCACCAGCCTTGGGGGCGAGACGGTGAGTGTGGCGGCCGGGTGTGCAGGTGGGGTCTCTGTGCGCCCCAGCACAGACACAGCCGGGGATCCAAGAAGGGGCAGCTGTGCCAGTCCTGGGCCGTGGCACCTGCTGCGCCCGCTGAGCCCAAAGGCCCAGCCCTCTGCATGCCCTCCCTGGTGCCAGCAGGGGGCATCTTGGCTGCAGGCTGTTATGGGGCTGGGCACTGGGAGCCCCAATGCTGAGAGTCCCCCCCCCCGTGAGGTCTGGGGGGGCAGAGGCGGAGGAGGAGGAGGGGCGCTCTTGGGGTCCCGTGGCTGACCTCTCTTTCCCCCCCCCCTCAGCCCCGCTCCTTCAGCCCTGCCCCCCTGTCCGCCCTGACCTCCTCCCAGAGCACTTCCGCCCTGACCGAGCGCAGCCTCTTCATGGCCGCCCAGCAGCAGCCGCCTCCGGCCCTGGGTAGGTCCTCTCCAGCTGGGGGGAGGGGTGTGTGGCGGGGACACCCCCCCCCGGGCGGGCTGGGGGCTGGGAGGCTGCCCGAAGCAGCTGAGGGATTGTGCCTTCCTTCCTCCCTCCCTCCCGTGGCAGGTGTCTCCCGTGGGCCCTCCCCCGTGGTCCTGGGCTCCCAGGGCGCCCTGCCCGTGGCCACGGCCTTCACGGAGTACATCCACGCTTACTTCAAGGGGCAGAACACGGACAGGTACTGGGGGGCGGAGGGGCAGGGGGTGGGGGCTCCGCGGGGTGGGCAGGGGGGCTGTGGGCGCCCCTTCCCTGGCCTGGAACGGGTCCCACGTGCCGGAGCAGCCAAGTGTTCAGCTGATGGAGTGACCCACTGAGACCCCCAGTCCTCCCTCCGGCCCCCAATTCCTCCACCTCGCTCGTGGGCCCCTGGGCGAAGGGCCCCTTGTCCTGCCTCGCTCGTGGGCTGCAGCTCCATCAGCCGGCCAAGGCCTCTGNCGTGATGCATGCATGAGGTCACCCTGGGAGGTCTCTACCCCCCTGCCAGACCCACAGCCCCCCTTCTCCTGCCTCCCCCCCCTCAGCGGTTCCAGGAGGTGGAGGAGTCGCACCTGCAGCACCTGAAATCCCTGGTCGGCTCCTACATCCACTCGGTGGAGGACACCCACGTCCAGATTGGGCAGGTGGGCAGCCGGGGTCACGGGGGGGGGGCGGTTCTGGGCCCTCCAGTGCTCTGCAGACCCCCATCGGGTGGGGGCTCTTGGACTTACAGCCCAAGCCCAAAGAGGGTCCCCATCCCACCCCCCCTCCTGGCTGCTGCCCCTCTTCCTTCTTGCCCTCCAAGTGGCCGCAGGAGGCAGGTAGCCGGGGGTGGGTGGGTTATCCTCATTTGTGGGGTCTTCCCAGAGCGAGGAAACCAGCAGGGGAAGATAGGCTGGGGGGGGGGCAGAGTTGCTGCCTCTCCCAAGGGCTCCGGATGCGAGAGTCGGCAGTGCTGGGCCTCAGGAGGGTCTCCCTCCCCCCCTCCCCGTCTCAGGTGCAGGAGGAATTCAAGCAGAACATGGAGAACATTGGGGTGGAGACGCTGCTGCGCAACTTTGCCGAGAGCAAGGGAACCGGCCGCCACCCACCAGGTGAGGGGCCCTGGAGCCCCCGGGCAGCCTTCGGGGCCCTGCCGGTTGGGCCCTCGGAGCTCCTGGGGGCCCGTGCGGGAGAGACGAGTGGAGAGGGAGGGCTGGGGGGACGCTGGGTGGGCAGGCAGGCCTCCCCATCAGCCACCACGCCCGGGAGACCCCCACGGGGAAGGGCCCCCGGGGGCCCCGTCTCTTACCCAGAGCGACGGACATGAAGGGATCTGGGGTGGAGGGGCTGCTGGACCACATGCCTTGAAGTAGCTCTTGGGGTGGGGGGGTGACGTGGGGAGGGTCTGCCCCTCTGCCTCACCTCAGGGTTCTCCCCCCCCCCCTCAGGGCCCCTGGACCTGGAGGAGCTGAGCATGATGTCCTCCTCGCAGGAAGGCAAGTACGTCTGGCTCGGACTTTGGACCTGGCAGAAGACGGGCATCTGCCCCCCCCTCCCTCCCCCTGAATTTCTGGTCCTTGGGCCCCTCCATCCCCCCTCCCCTGTGGCTCCGGGGGAGGGGGGGGCTGCCTGTCCCCCAACCAAGCAGCTTTGCCCCTGGTCCAGGGCCCCCATTTGTTCTCCTGCCCCTGAAGGCCCCCCTCCCTTTGCGTCCCCCCCAGGGCCCAAGCGGAGCCGCAGCAAAGCCTTCCGCATTCCCGGACTCGGGCGTAAGGAGCGCGGGCGGGACTCCGGGTGAGTATGACTGCCCCCCCCCTCTGCCATCCGTCCCGGCTGTCCAGCCCCCCACCCCACTCACCCCTTCTCCCCCTTTCTCCCCAGGGAGTCTCCGGAGGCGGATTCAGGGGTGAGGACGCGCCCTGCAAGGCGGTGCAGCTGAGTGGTGGGCTTGGCCGAGGCGGGGGCTCTGCCCAGACCCCTTTTCCCAAGGGCTTCCTCCCCCCCCATGTCTTGGGCTGCCCACCCCTCTCTGTGACCTTTGGGGGGTGGCCTGTGTCGCATCCCCCCCCCACAGCCATGTTCTCTCTCCGCAGCCCCCCGAGGTGGACGAGGAAGGCTTCACCGTCCGGCCAGAAACGAACCAGAACGATATCCTGGGGGAGAGGGGATCGAGGGAAGGGGGGCTGAGGGTCTGGATGTGGGGCTCGGTCTCAGACCTGAGGGGGGCAGAACCCCAGAAGGCACAGGGGTCTCTGCACAAGTGGGCAGAGAGACCCCCATTTCCTGCCTATCTCGGAGGGGGTCCTGGGGAGGGAAGCCCGCCCCCCCGGCCGTTCCCCAAAGACACCAGTCTCCCCAACCCCAAGGGCCTTTCCTTGACTGGGCTCCACGCGAGCACAGCAGCCGCTTCTGCTCCTCCAGTGACTCGGATTACGACGACGAGGACCCCCCCAAATTCTACATCCGGATCAAGCCCATCCAGCCCCCCGAGCGAGTGGGCAGTGCGGCCACCTCGGCCGCCACCGAGCAGCTGAAGGCCTCAGTGGGCAGCCTCATCCTGCCCCCCTGCGTGGGGGTGAGTGGGGGGGCAGCCGGGGATGCGAGGATGCCCCCCCCCTTCTCTGCTTATCTTGGAGGAGGGGCCGGAGGACCCCCCCACCCCATTGGCCTTGTGCCCCTTCTGACCCCCCACCCCCCTTCTCTTCTGCAGGGCACCATGAAGAGACACTCCTCCAGTAAGTGCCCCCCTCCACGGCCCCTCCCCCTGGGGGTTGCAGTGGGGGCCCCGCTGCAGCGGGTGGGGTGGCTCCACTGGGCCCTCGAGGGCCACTCTGGGGAGCCTGCAGGAGAGAGCGAGGCCGGGCCCGCCTTGCAGAAGCCGCAGGAGCAGCCGTGGGGCCCCGTGTGGGTGCCAGGGGGCCAAAAGGCCGTCTCCCCCAAGTGAGGAGCTGGGAGCTTCCCTGACCCAAGAGGGGGCTCCTTCTGGCCCCCTCCGGACCGACTGACCTGCAGCCCAGACTGGGGCGTCCCTCTCTCCTTGCAGGGCACTTGAAAACCTTCCCTTCGGCTGCCGCGCTGCCCACCGACTCTGGGCCGGCCCCGGGCGCAGGAGAGGGAGGTGAGGCCGCAAGAGCAGGGGGGGGCGGGGGGTCCTGGGGAGGGGCCCCCTGCGCCCTCTGACCTTTGTGCTTCTGACCCTTGGGCAGGTGGGAGACCGGGAAGTGCTGCGACCCCCAGCCTGCTGCCCCGGATGAGCAGGTACGCCCGCATCTCAGGTAGCCACCTCTGCGCTGGCACCTGGCCTGGCACCCGGGAGGCTGGCTGCACCCAGGTGGGCCGGCATTGTGCCAGCTGGCTTCTTTGCTTGTTTGCGCTGGGGATTAGGGAGTTTTCATTGCCTTGGAGTGGGGGTGGGGGGCAGGAGGGATCTTATCTGGAGGCGGCTTTGCAGGAGGAGGAAGCCTCCGAGTCAGCCTGACTTCTGGGGGGGGGGGGGGGGAGCGGGGGGGGAGTGCTGAGGAAGGGAAATAGGGCAGGGTCCCCACTTGGCCCTTGAGGCGTTTCCTCCGGCCCCTTTCCCCAGGGGAGGCAAGAAAGGGAACGCCGGCCCAGCCAAGCCCCCTGGGGAGGGAAGGAGGGAGGGAGGGTCTGCTGAGGCTTTCCAGGAATGATGGGGAGGGGTCTTTTCTCTGACACCCCCCTCATCCCCGCCTTCTCTTTCCCAGCTGTGAGAGCCGAGGGAAGCCGGAGGCCCTTCCGGCCAGCGCCTTGTTTGGGCCCCCGCTGGAGTCGGCCTTTGAGAACGAGCCCTTCACGGGTGAGTCCCCCTTTGGAGGGGGGGTCAAGCAGCTGCCCCAGAGCCCCCCAAGGGTCCCCAGCCCTCCAGCCCAGCAGGGGCTTCAGTCACGCGTGGTCTCTCCCCCCCCCGCCCGTTTCCTTCTCCCAGTGCAGCTTCCTTGGCAGCTGTTCCCCACAGAGGCTGATTCAGAATCAGAGAAGAGCTGTGAC